TTTCAACTCGTGGAAGGAAGTCTCGTGATCATAAATGCCTCTTCAATGCATGTACTACACCATTACAATACATATATCACCATTACAATGCATGAACTTCACTTCCCTAATAATGGATAACGCTTTGGAATTGGCAAAAAAAACTCTTCCGAGTTCGAAATCTTGTCCACACCAGAAAGATCCCCCCTTCCTTATGCTGTTGAAAGGCATTCTTCATGTCAATATTCATATTTCACTTTCATCCCTCTATAGTTGCCACTCTTGCCTATAAATAGGGGCCATGGGAAGAGAAGTAGTATTCAATCATCTCTCACTTCAAACGTTCAAAAAGGATTGCCAGATGTTCGTAAAATTGCTTTGGCATAATAAATTTAGCCCATGTTCGATTTAGTTTAAAATAAGTTTTTTGACAGATTTTGATAAAAATTAATGAAATATATAGTTACAAAGATAACAAAAGTTGTCGATTTTTTGAAAACCTATTCGGGCATTGATTTAAAAAGGAAATATGCTCAAGGGTCGAAGAGTCAAACTGGAGTTGAACCAAATATATGTAATTATATATATCCTATTATAAATTTATATTAATTAGAAGGGGTATTTTAATATATATATATATATATATATACATACATATATATATATATATACACATATATATATATATATTAGAGGGGTATTTTCAAAAAAATATCTAATTTCATGGGTGTCAATTGAAAAATGTCCACTTTTTAAATTTAGCACTAAATTGTCTATTATGCTCTTAATAAAAAAAAAAGAAACAATTTATTTATTTTTTCAATTTGTTGCGAATTTCGAGAAATAGCTTCCATGAGAAGCTACATTAAAATAATGTTATCGACATTTCAAATGTCATTCTCGATATTTGAATCCCGCTTATATTTTAAAAGTACACATGTCAAATCACAATATTAAATGTTCTCGACATTTCAAACGTTGTTCTTGACATTTTAAATATCTAGAATAACATTTTATTCTGAATATGATATTTCTCTATACTTAAAATGTAATTCTCGACGTTTCTGTGTCAATGAGAAAAATAGCATTAATTTTGATTTGACATGAACACTTTTGAAATAAATATGACAGAAGTAATTTCCTCTTTTTTAAACCTTCATTAAATTACTGAGAAAGGCTGTGACTACCGTACTTAAGTCTCAAGATTAAAATTTCAAAAATATCGAAGTTTGAGAAATTTTTCACTATAATCCAAGACTTTTTTTACATTAAATAGATAATAATTGATTTATATAAAATATAAATGTGACTTATGATTGATTATTATTTCTTATCATCATACTCCTTGTCTAAAAATTTTCTAAAGTTACCATCTTGTCCATTGGAATGTATTTGAGAATGAGGGAAGAATAAATCATGGTTTTATAAATTCATAATTTTCTTCGCATGTTTTACGGTCACAACCACCATTCCTTGTGTTACAATAGGGAGGCGTTAGAAAGTTGTAAAGGTGAGTGAAATTGTGAAATCCTTATTAATGTGACATCGAAGTTGTGGCTTGATAACATGTGTAAGTAAAAATAAATACATCAATTGTGACCTTTGTAGATTATACATGTGTCTTTGTGACCTCTCACAAGGACGGTGATCAAGGAAAAGATTAAGTGTTTCTCTCTCCAAATGATTTTGAAATTGTAAGAGTTTCAATTTGTATAATTTGAATTTCAAGAACTTAAATTCAAATACACATTACCACAATTAATGGGGTTGGAGACAAAATAAAAATATATACTAAAATATATTTAAGAAATATTTGATTTGTGAATGAAAAAAAAAATACCTGATTTTTTACAAGGAAAAATTAATAGCATGATTTGCTATTATTTTCTCTTAATTATTTCCATCCTCATTTAATGACTAATAAAAACTAAATGGGCAAAATACAACTATAATCTTAGATATTAAATAAAACATTAATAATGTTATTTAGCATAAATGGTGCTAGGACATCAATTTAGGTGATGATACTTAATAGATTCAATTAAACGAATCATGTAACATTGTATTTAAATAAATCCACCATCTAATGTCATATAGTTGTCACATATACTAATATTTAACACCAGTAATGTTGAATAGTATTACTTATAAAAAGGAAAAATGGACTAACATGATATACTCTAGATGTCCAAAATAAGGCTAAACCCTACCTATTAAACTATCCGCCACCATATCCTTGCCCTTCACAAAGAGACCTGTATAACATAGGATATTGCGCCACCGTTTGACCCCCATTTTGTGGAAGTAAAAATGAGTGAAATAGTTTTTTTTTTTTGAAAAACGAGTGATCGAAAAAGAAGAAAAAATTTTCGATTTACGTGTAATATTATTTTATGGAAGATTGTGTGGTTGAAAATAGTAGAGAGAAAAATATAATAGAATGAAAATTAATGGGGGCCACTTGTGGTATCTGGAAACTTGTGATAAAAATGACAACTTAGTGATGTAAAAAATAATAGTAATACCCATGTCGATGTTCGTTAAGAGTCCTTATATGATTATGACTCATATATTTTTCATTTTAAATGTTCTAATCGTAATTTTGTAATTGAAGTATAATATTTAAATAATTTTTGAAATAAAAAATTAACAATAAGCTAGCTAAATTAAGGATGTGTTTGTTGATGAACTACCAGAAGGACCATCTCCGTACGATCTTATTACCTCGTGACAACAATTTGAGCCTTACTTGATAATCATTAAAACAAGTTTATTTATTTATTTTAGAAAAATAAGTTCTAAAATAGTAATTTCTTAAAGAATGTGTGGTTAAAAAATTTTAAAAAATTGAGTTTAGATGTAAAGTATTTTATTATGAGAATACGTGGTTGAAAATGAGCTTGTGAAAAAATAATTATTTTAAGGGAAAATTGCAACAGATGTATCAAACTTTTCATTTATTAGTAGACTTGATCCAAATTTTTTATTTGTACCACACACGATACCAAACCTTTGAAAAACTCACAATTGAAGTCCAAATGGATGAAAATTGTTAATTTGACTCTTAGTTGACCAAATAATTAACATTGACACGAATTTTGACTAATTTTAAAAGAATAAGATGATACATTTTTCAAAAAAAATAAAAAATAAAAAATAATTACGATGTATTAATAATTAAACCAAAAAACAAACACACTATTCATCTTCTTCTCCACGCACCCCCTCACACCTACCCACCCCAAAACAAAACCCACGAAAATCGGCACCCATCCCCAACATAATTGCAGCAAAGGTATCTCAAACTCCAGAAATTAGATGGCAAAGCAGTGATTTTGTTACTACTCAGATCCAAAGTTTCAAGCTTTGTCAATTACCCAAATATTCGGCACAAATAATCAGATGCCATATTATGAATTCAATGGCATGTTAGTATCAATTAACATAAGGAAGCACTGGTCTTGTATTAATCAAAGTATGAGCTTTTTTGGGGAGTAGCCCACTTCCGATTGCCTACTAGTAGTGCACCGCACTTTTCCATATCCTTGATTAGAACTGGGCAAATCTCCCGAACCGAACCAACCGAACCTAATCAAACCCGACGGCTCTTCTCAAGTTAAATACATGAACGAGTATCTGAATTAAGAACCGATGGGTACGGTTCAATTCTCGGTTCTAGACCAAGAACCGAAGAATCGAATATTCCTAATTTTTATTTTTTTTATATTGAATAAATCAAATTATTTTAATTTTTTTTAAACAAATTAACAAATTAGGTGATTAATTGATACTTTATCTCCTAAGCCCTAGCCTAGCTAGCTTGACCTAACCCAACCAATTTCTAAATCCAATTTTTTGGCCGAATTATTTGTTTCATTTCTAATTTTTTAAATTTTAGCCCAAGTGCCATTTTTAGTTTTTATTCTTCCATTTTTTAACCCAACATCCAAGTGATCCAACCCACTAATGACTAACCCTAAATAAATTACACATATTATCACCTATACATAACACAACTGACATTTCTAAACTCAAATAGATGTATAGAACCTCCGACTCCGAGTCCGAAGCTATGATCTCTGGGCTCCGATGGCGACCTTCGACCGTTGATCATTTGAATAAGGTAGTGTGTAAGTTTCCCTATATGTGATTGGTAAATTAATCTTGTTGGACAACTTGTTATATACATGTTAAATTGGATTACGTTAATTTATAAAATTACGATTGAATGTGTTATTAGTTGTATTTATGTAGTGTTGTTATAAATGTTAAAAAATTTAATTATAGTACAGAATCGAACCCGAACGGTTCCATAATTATATTTGGACTCGACGGTTCTATTTACTAAATATCCAAAATTTTTGGTTTGATTCAGTTCTCTTTAAAACCGAACCGACCCGCGCTTAGGCCTATCCTTGATATAACACACGTTTGTATCAGTTAAATGGAGAAGCAATACGAGGTTCCAAACTTCAATGTTAACAATTCAGACAAATAGAGATTAGTCAATTGGGCGAAAGGCGGGAGTAGATTCAAGAGACGGAATGAAAGAGGCTCAATGACCTAATATGTGGAATTGAATTGGTGGGTTTTGGTTTTGGTTTTGAGGGGGGTGGGTGGGTGTGAGGGGGGAGGCTGGGAGAAGAAGATGAATAGTGTTTTTGTTTTTTTATTTAATTATTAATATATTGTAATTATTTTTTTGTTGAAAAATGTAAAGTTACCATTTTATTCTTTTAAATTAGTCAAAATTCAGGTCAATGTTAATTATTTGGTCCACTAACAATCAAATTAACAGTTTCCATCCATTTGGACTTTAACTGCGAGTTTTTGAAAGACTTGGTATCGTGATTGACACAAATGAAAGGTTTAAGTCAAGTTTGCGAATAAATGAAAAGTTTGGTATCTTGAGTGCAATTTCCCCTTATTTTAATGGTTGTAAAACGGGGGCTGAGTTTCCAATTATTAAAAAAAAAAAGTTTTTAATTTTTCACAAATATTAAGAAGTTTCGACCACCATGGCTTGGCTGACCGAGCCATGGTCTTCTTGTTTGTTTTCTTGGCACAGGATTCCACGCACATCTCAGCGGCCCGACAGCAAACTCGTATAAAATCGAATCATTTCCTCCGAAATTTACATTCCCTCACACGCTTCCATTCAACTGTAGAAAAATCTCTCTGTGTTTGGTCTCATGAAGAAGAATTGGTGAGATAAAGTTTTCGAGAACAGCGAAACGAGACGCCATGGCTCCATTGCTGTTGCAGCTCAACGGCGAAAGAGCCGTGGTTTTACTTTATATTTGCCAAATCCTATTCTCCACCCCTCTCTCTCTCCTTTCCCAAGCTTTTTCTCTCTCTCTACTCACGCTCTTCGCCCTCTCCGTCGAGATCTCCGCCGATGACCCTTCCAATCCCCTTTCGCAGTTCTTCAAAACCAGGTAATAGGACCATTTCGGAATCTCATGTAATTTGGTTCAAATTTGAGGTTGAATGGGATTTATGATTCGTTGATCAAAATCCATACTGCCCATTTTAAGTCGACTTTTGTCTCCATGTTCGATTGTTTAGTATTATTTTTCTTAATATGTAGGTAGAATTACTGATTTGGTTGTGCATATGTTTATTTTCACGTTTAAACAAATTCTCGAAAGAATTAAGATTGAGTGGTCATGACTTTTCTAGTTTCTTAGGAGTAGGCTATGAGCCTGTTTGGGAGTAATTTTTCACCCCAAAAAATTGATTTTTTTATACCTTTATTTTACTATTTCAACTGTATTTTTTGACTTGTTCACTCATAGGTGGCCCCACTTTTCTGCTAATGCTCAAAAAATCAATTCTCAAAATTAATACAAACAGGCCATATATTGCGTTCTTACGTGAATTCTTCATGCTGAATTGTTCGACTCGTATTATATCATAAAGATATTTAGCCCTTGTTTGGTACATTTCTCTCATTTCCAACCAAACCAAATGTTCGTCAATAAAATAGTATTATACGCAAACCCAACACTTTTCCTTATTTCTTAACAACACACTCTCCTTCAAACTACTATTCCAAAAGTGCATTTTGGGACAAAAGTGGACTCAAACATGCTCTTAATTTTTTTAGAAAAAATTGGGTATTTATGTAAGTCCGTATCAAAGTTAATTTATATTAGTTACATGTTTTAGAGTAGCTAGGAGCTATTTATATAAGTCTGAATCAAATTCCAAATCAGAGTTAATGCATAGTAGTTATACATTTTAGAGTATCCTGGACTTTTTGTTTTATTTGGGTGCGTCTTGCTTGTTCATGATCATTTGACTCAAGGAATTGGTTGTATTAGGCCTGGAGTTACATCAGGGATTATGCTGGGGGCAATGACACTGCCAGGGCTGATGGTTTCAAGATTAATACAGGTTTCAAGGTTGGTGTCATTACATGAAGCTGAAGTTGGAGGTATGCCTTTGCTATCTTAACTTGGAAGTTGTTTTGGAGTTAAAATTGGGTCAACTGCTCATAACTCTGTATTATTATGCTTTTAAGACGACATATGGACATGCCATTAGATAATTAGATACATGGAAAAATATTTGATCTACATGTTAAGTGGTCTGACACATTCATTCCATGACATGAAATCTGTATTTTCACAAGCCTACCTATGGAATATAGCTGCAATTACATCAGTTTAGTTTAACCTAATGATGTTTTTCCATAAAAACCATATGTTATATCCCTTTGCAGTGGTTTTCTAGAAATGCAAATGTGATTTAGCTGACTCTTTATTTCGTTTTAATTTTCTGCAGAGCTAGAATATCTGAATTTGCAATATTGGGCTGCATCAGCCATTTGCTTTGCTGTGTTACTTTTTATCTGCTTCATTTTTCGACTTCATCACACCAGTGCTGGGTCTACATGTTCTCTCTTTAATCGGGACACAAAATTTGGTGTAGCCTGCATGGCCTTGTTCATAGGAATCTGCTATATGTCATTTCTCGGGAAAACATATGGTGGTAAGTGAAAGAATCTCTTTCTATTTTCATACTTGCTCCAACATTTAGTCAATTTAAATTTCAAAGACTTGGAAAGTTTATTTACTTCCTTTGGGTGTTTCTAATAATTTTGTGAACCTTTCTTTACTTCATTATATACCCATTTTGTCAGTGAACAACATATGATTGATGATATAATTTTGATCGATTTGCTCCTCTTACAGGGCTGTCTGCAACTTTGATAATATTATGGGTGCTCTGTCATGGATTAGCAGCAGTTTACTTAATTCAGAACATTCTTCGTACTTTTTCGGCATGTTTTTCTGTTGGTAGGTCATATTGCTATTTAAGCTTTATTGATGGTGCTCTGTCATGGATCGTAGATATCAACTTAATTTAAAACTTTGTTTTAGCATGTTTTTCTTTGCTAGATCATGTTATTGTTATTTAGGCTTTATTACTTGTTCGATGGAGTCCATATTTAAGATGACAAGAAAGAACCGAGCAGAGTAATTTTGTTTTGTTTTAACGTATTCCGTTGCACAGATGCTCAATGTAATCTATTTAATTTCAAGGCACGGTATTGTGATTTGGTTTAGTTTTACCAAATTGTTTTGTTCTCTAAAAAATGATGTTATTTTTTCTCGTCAGGGGAAGGGCTTCTGGTCACTGCTGGCTTTGTCATCTATTTTGGGGACATGTTGTTCTACATTGCTTCAAAGGTTAGTTTTATTATTATGTTTACTTTCCCCATTATATTGCAGATTTATTCAATATTTCTGCTAACGGTAATTTGTTACCAAACAGATTCCTGGATATTGGGTATCATCCAATTTAGTTTTTCTGGAAAATGGCATCAAGAGAGATGAGATACATATAATTATTCAGGTAATGTTCCGTGGGTTTTAACAAGTAATTATTCCATTGTTCTTTCCTCTCTTGAGTGGAGAAGTAAATTTTATATTTATACCAATTGGTAATCTCCTTCCTATTTCATGCAGGGTATCACTCTTGGCCTACTTCTTTTTCCTGTTTTCTACAGATATGTTCTCAAAATTTGGCAATGCTCTGCTAGCTCATCTAGCTCTCAAGACATGTCGAACCATGAGATCAGAAGATCCTTTTCTTTCTGTGCTTTGCTGGCATTTATGTTGGCTGTGGCTGTTCCGTCATGGATGCAATTTGTCCATGATTTTCACATGCACCCTCTGTTGTGGTACATTCCTCAATTTTGTTTCAATCTATTGCCAATTACTGCTCTGGCTGCTTCTGCTTTATCAAATTTCCTGATGTGAAGAAAAGAATATAGAGTTTCCATATTAATTATTATTTGGGTTGGTAACTTGGTTTTTGAGACTTATGGAAAATGATTCTTTTAAGTTGAATATTTTGCCGCTATCAACTAAACAAGATGGAAGGGAGAGTTTTGGGAGAGAAAAAGAGTTAGTTCTTGACAAGCATATGGTAAAGTCTTATAAGAACACATACAAAAATATAATGAGGATGAAGTTGTAATTTATGGAAGGGATCTGGATTCATTTATCAAATAGACTGTTTAATCGATATGTATCAAAATTACATTATATTTTATATGATCTCTTATTTTAAATCCAATTATAGGTGATCTTGTATCATGAAGTCATTGTGCTAGCACTAAGTATTGGTGTAATGTTGTTAAGGGGTTTTAATGAGAATATACAAATATGCTAAAAAGAACTGCAAAATAAGCTATGATATGATTCCAAGAAGGCTAAGAGGTAAATTAACTTCACTTTCAGTTATACCTGAAAAGCTTTTCTATAGATCAATAATCTATCTATGTGACACATGATGTGCTATAAAATGATAAGGCCAATTGTATGTAGGGATATTAGATCCACTTAATTGGTCCTATCATTTAGTGCTACATCCATCATGTGGTGATCATCTCTAATGGAGATAAATAGCATTGCTCTTTGTAAAACTGGCATGTTAGTGTTTTTTAATTTCATTCCTTATAAGTAGACAAGCTGTCCAGTGCAAAGTTGATCAATTTAGGGAATCTGGAGTTTTGTGACAAATGTTTTCATTTTTGTCTGCGTGCTTGTGTTCAGTCTATTGTTGGAGATAAAAAGATAAGTTGAATGTGAGACTAATCAAGAAACTTAGTCTAATTTCCCAGCACAGAGAACAACATGGCAAAAGAGCAACAGTAGCTTGAAGTTCTGACCTAATCCAGCCGCTCCTTATTGTTATTGTTTTTGTTGTGGTATTAATGGTATAATGGGACCAAGAAAAATGAAGGAAAAAGAATCCAGATATTCACCATTGCATTTTTCTTATGAAACATGCATCTTATCTAGTAGAGATGTTATTGTGTATATAAGTGTAAACTAATTACTTTCAGCATATGTTTGCAAGTGTTTATAGCATAGTTATAAAACCCGGTCCAGAACCCGTTGAACCGGACCCAGGTCCGATCTGGATTTAATGAATTTATGGCTGAACAATCAGGTTTATATCAACCTGTTTGAACCGCCGGTTTTTCATAAAAACTGGGTACCACTTTTCCTTTGACCCGACCGGGTCTTTATTAACCTGTGTTTCTTTCCATTTTTCAGTTTCCACCTTCTCGGTTTCCCCACTCCCGTCTCCTCACAACTTCTAAAACATTAGGGGTTGTTGCAAAATCAAAAAGCTAAGCCGCCGTCTCCAATCTCTTGCAATTCAATACCTCCAAAAAATCCAATCTCCAATTTCAAGTTTTAAGATATGGAATCCATGAAACAATAGCCCCCATGTTGCAGTGGTTGATGAACAAGCAAGCCTAGAAGAATATGAAATCCATGTGAATAGGGGACCTTTCTTTTTTTCTACCATTCGGGCACAAAAGCCGGTTGCGTGGTGGGCATGGTCTATATGGAGAAGGATGTTTGGAGAAAAGTTTGTGAGATGGGCGGTAGATATGATGGGGACAATGGCTGTCATTATGCTTAATGGTGATGAGGGGGTGCTCTAAAGGTGTAGTTGTAATTACTGACTTTTTGGAAGGGGTGCTTCTAGGCTAGCAAGTAGCAACATCTTTATTTTGGCTATGGGGGATTTGTCCTAAAGGTGTTTGATATTTTATAGCAAAGGGGATATGTTAATAATTGTAATTTATTTTGGCCATGGGGATATGCTCTAAAGGTGTTCGATATTTTATAGCAAAGGGGATATGTTAATAGTTGTAATCACTGCAACATCTTTATTTTAGGTTAGCAACAACCTTATTTTGGTTATGAAATCTTCTATAATGTGTGATATGATGATTGGAATCAAGGAACTTTAAGCTATTTTTGCATCTTAGATGTAATGAATGATTGGTTTTAAGGATATTAAAAAAAAAAAAAAAATCTGGAATTTAAGTATGTTGTTGATGAATTTCAAATTTGGTCATTGAAATATATGAAAATAAGATTTTTTGTGCAACTTTAAAGTGATCTAGTGTTTGTTGAATTTTGATGTTGCAAATGGATTTTCCATAATACGTGATCTAGTGTTTGTTGAATTTTTCATAAGGTTGTTCTTTAGCCACCAAAATAACATAGGTAAATTTAGTTGGTGGTAAATATATTTGACGAGAATTGACACACCGATCTAACCACCGGGTCACCGGTTGAACCACTAACCCGTTGCGTTGTCCGAGTCGATGCCCAGGTCGGGTCTGATAACTATGGTTATAGAAATAGAAACTAGTGATGGATAAATGGAGTTTTACCAAATATGTGGATAAAAAGTAACTTGACTTTTATCATAAACACTTGCCAAAATTAATCGTAGATGCAAATTACATGAAGCCTTGCAATTTAAGATTGTATGAGAATACAATGTTTATGAATGTCAATTAGGATCATGTAAATACAAACTAATCACCATCTTTAGATGCAAATTCTAAGAAGCCTTAAAGTTTATAAAGCATACAACAACATGAGATTATTATGGTCCGTAGGGGCTTTCACCAAACAAGGAGAAGGAAAGTGTCATATTGTTTAATGAATATCTATAAAAAGGACTTTATTTCAGAATTATTTCCATACCTGTCTTGGGTTGGTATGGCTTTTTGATCATCCTCGTTTCAAATAAGGCTTACTTAGAAATCTAATGCAATTTCCTTAAAAATGAATATAGCAGTGAAACCTATGGAGTTAATGCCCCATCAGATAAATAGTATTGCTAACCTTTGGCAAGGTTTGCAGAGTGGAATGTGAACTAGCAAAGCCTTACTTTTCTTAATCCTCCAACCTTAAAACTCAAGTGAATAGTTTAGAAAAGCCTTGTACTGCTACTGTTTCTATTGATGGTTGTACTAGTATTACTATGAATTTTTATCCATTGAATGGCTGCTGACCCTTTTTCTGAGTGGATCTGTGTTTGGCCCCTTCTTGACTTATTCATGAAGGTCTCCCTGAAATAGAATAAAAAATGCAATATTATTCAAGAATTTCTCTTAACGTTGAAAAGGACTTTGAAAGCTGTCTACAAATTCTCTTGCATTCAAATAATACAAACACCTGATGGACAAAAGTTAAATCTTGAACTTCCTACTCACTGATATATCCTGTATGATCTAATTATTCTTCATTTTAAATATCAATAGATATATTCACTGATAAATATTTTCTTTCCACAAATGATCCTTATTTGATTTTCATGCTTTTATTCTTTGCTAATATAACTATTCTCTATCTTTACATATATTTTTCAGGGTATTTAATTTTGTTTTCTCTGAACCACTCAAGAGACTGTCCCTATGTGTCTATTGGGTAGCTGTTATATATGTGTCAGTAATATGGTTCTACAACATTTCGAAGAAAAGTACAATTGAGAGAATTCTTCTTCGTAAATACTACCATCTGATGGCTGTTTCAATTTTTGTTCCTGCACTTATTTTCCAGGTAAATTGAAGTTGAAAGGATTTTGAGGTTACTGTGCTGAAATTTGACTCTTTCTGGAAATATATTTGATGATGGATTTCTTTTCCAGCCAAAGTTTCTTGATCTGGCTTTTGGTGCAGCTTTGGCAGTCTTTCTCATGTTGGAAATTATACGAGTAAGTTCCTAAAGAAACAAGTCTATGTTATCACTTACTAAGATGGTGTGGGTGAGAGTTATGTGAATGCAAAATTTCCCTATAGAAGTTCTGGCACTTTACTGAAATATCTACACATTGTGAACTTTTTGAGTATGATTCATTTTGATCTTCTTATACTGAAATGATTTTAAGACATGATTATATTTGTGGAAATCAAAGTATTGCAATATTGTCCTTTGTTTCAGTGGCAAAATTTGGATTCTTGAATGTGTATTGTTGTTTTCTTTGGTTATGGTGTAAGAGAAGTATGATAAAACCCAGAGGAACGAAAGGGGTTAGAGACTCTTCACTTCCATACTTTATAAACTGGAGAATATTTATTTTACTCCAGCCTCTTGACTAATATTGTTACTTTCTTTCTCCTCCTCCCTTCTCTAAATCGGAATATAATGTTGCTGAACACTTAATGTTGAAATGATTTAAGTACTTAGTTCGTTTAGTGATCGAGCACATTTGATTGGTATCCCTTTTTATCACCTGTTAAGGGTGTTGTGGCCTTCTGTAGTCTTTGATAATCAGACAATCAGTTGAAATTAAAGAGTATGCTTGGGAGTGATTATAAGTTTTTGGGATGTATGGAATGTGTGGATAATAAGTGGGCATTAGTTTTGGATCCTACAAAACGTGTGGATAAAAAGTATATTTGACCACCGTAAATTATAATTTAAGCTTTGTACAACATGCGCTAAGTGATTTTACCATAACTAAATGTTGAACTAAAAAAGGAATCGGGTATAAAAGTTCTAAAATTACAATATGTCATAAAAAGCTTTCAGAGTCCAAGGAAATGAACTTAAAAAGGTTCAAGTGTTCGATTCCACTTTCACCTCCATTGTGCACACAATCTTTCACATTTAAGCATAATTATATATTTCATATGATATGACACTTTCTATTCATAATAGAATGTCTTCATTTGAATTAGCATGGAGTTTCGGCTCAGGGTTGAAGAAGTGCAAATTTTATTCTGTCTTAAAAATAGTGGCCGAGAATATCATTGTACATACTTTAAGCAAGGGATATTATATTATTTAAGAAAAAAAATGTTATTCCCAGACTATACTAAAAGGAAATGAGGTCATTCAAACCTTTGAGGTATTGTGTTTGAATATTACTCAATTAACATTCAATTGTGAAACAATTTTTTTGATTGAATGGTCGAATAAAGTAGTTTGTTATATTCAATATTTGGTACTTACCATTGTCTCTTCAGTATTGAACACAAACAGAAACAAGAAAAAAAGAGAGAAGAAGTGAATGTAAATTTATTACATATTCATCAAAATTTGAAGTATGAATATACTAATAAGAGTTATTTCCGAAAGTTTAGCCAGTAAAAATAGGTAAGCATGGACCTTAAAATGGGGGAAGTGCAGAAATTTACACTAATCAATACAAGGTTGTGTTTTACATATCACTTGAGTTGCTTGTAATGGTCTGAATTTGTATTGTAAAGAGATTCTGATTTAACCTGTGGGATATGAATTGGAAAATTTGTCACATAATACCCAAATCAATCTATCTTTGACAACTCCTGCAGACCAAAAGAAAAACATAAAAGTGCACATGTACGCACATTAAAGTTTCTCTATGCCATTAAAAAATCTTTGTGCCCTAGATCTTTCTGAAATCTGTCTTCTCTTCTGTGCTTGAAAAACTTATCCTTGATTTTGAGCTTATTATTTGATTTATTGCAAAAGTTGAGTAGCTTTGATTCTCGTGGCAGGTATGGAGAATTTGGCCTTTAGGTCACCTTGTTCACAAATTCATGAATGCTTTTACTGACCATCGTGATTCTGATTTGCTTATTGTCAGGTGTGCAATTTGTTTCCTTCAATGTATGTTGCGTTGTATCCCTTGTTTTTTTGTAGATATTGACTGTTTGCTTCCCCAATCTTCTTCATTGTGCAGCCATTTTTCACTCTTACTGGGATGTGCACTTCCTATCTGGCTATCTTCTGGTGTTACTGATCGTCCACTTGCACCCTTTGCTGGAATTCTGAGCCTTGGTATTGGTGATACAATGGTAAATCCCTGGAATTCTTTCCTGGCAACTTCCTATTTAACTCTTTGATTGCCCTAAATTATCAGGTGCTTCAGCCAGTTTCAACAAAAGTTTTGAAACATTTTCACTGAGAGGTGGAATGCTGAGTTCAATGATCATTTTCTGAAAGCCCGTGTAGTTGAGTTTGTATTTTCTGTGATCAACTGGTGAAGAAACTGTGAAAACCATGCGCTAGAGATTCACTATTTTCTAATGGATGCTTATGAGTTTGCTAACACATCAGGAGAGAGAATCCCATGGTGTCTAAAATTCATTTTTGCATTTACTGCAGGCATCAATGGTTGGCCATAAGTATGGAGTCATCCGCTTGAGCAAAACTGGCAGTATGATTCTTCATTTCTAATTCATTATTCCTTACTTTCCCGTTGCTTCGACTCATTTTTTACGTTTCCTTACATGTCATCTTTATTGACCTTTTGTAGAGAAGACAATTGAAGGAACTGCTGCTGGCATAACTTCCGTTTTGGCTGCATGCTCCGTTCTACTTCCACTTCTAGCCTCAACTGGTTACATCTTCACTATGGTCTTTCTCTCACTCTCTCTCTGGGTGTGCGTGTGTTCATTTTCGTAGAAATAGACACGGTTAAATTTTTAGTTCGTGCATTTTTCTCACTTCTTAGTCCTTCGTTTTTGCAGCACTGGTTCTCTCTTATATTGTCAGTGACTACTAGTGGTCTGTTGGAGGCCTACACAGCACAACTGGACAATGCCTTTATACCTCTCGTTTTCTACAGCCTTCTCTGTCTGTAAAATGCCAATTGCTCTAAGCTTGCAACATATGAATTCTTACTCACCTGTTGCTCCAATGTGTCTTGTAAATATCACAGACCTAACATATACAGTAGTCCATACATAGATGAAATTTTGAGTTCTCAGTAGTACAAACAGATTTGGTAACACATCATTTTTTATCAGCTTTGATGTTGTAATAGCATCCTAGTGATACCGGGAAAGAATAAATCCTGAATCGTAAATAGTGAATTAGGAGGATTTTTGTTAAATGTAGAGACATGCAGCAAAATTTATATTTGCCAATAAATTTGATATTGTGCATTCTGGTTTCTTGCGTTCTGTTATTTGTGAACATTTTTGGATGGATTGATGGTCGTTGGTTTTGTAGTTGAATGACATAATCACTAACGTAAGTTGTTGATATTGTAATTAACCAAAGCAGTGAAAAAAAGAAGATCTGTGTCCTCTTTTGCTGAGATGCTGCAAAATTTGGACCATTATGTGACCTGGCTAAACGTGAAAAGCATGTGTTAGCTCAAATGATGCTGCAGGTCTGAAACATTAATGTTGGAGCAAGCAGTGGCACCCTGTGTTATTGCAGGCAATGCAGTGGTTGATGTTATTTGGACATATGTCTATGTTCCTGTTCCTCAGCATGTGTCTGTGTTGCAATAAAACATTTTATTGATGGATTCGGTCTTACATATTAATTTTAATTTTTCCTGTTGGTAGATGAGACATTTCAGTTGCACAAGTCACCTTAAGCCCTTGTTTGATGGTCATTATTGTATAAAAATAATGTTTTGAATAGTGATTTTTTGGAGAATTGTGATTAGAAAGTCAAGAAAAGTTTTGGGTTTATATGCAAAATATTTATTTTATTATATAAATGTTTGGTTGAAAATGAGTATGAGAAGTAAATTGTTTTGTTTTAGAGGGAGTCGAACAGGGAACGTTTATATTTATCTGATATGGTGTTGTTTATGAGATGTTAGTGAATAGATTTTTTTGTTTTTCTCTTGATATCTCAAGAATTTTGAAAGAAGTTTCTTTCTCAGTAGATGCAATGCAAAACTTTTCTGCATATTCACACCTCGGCGGAGGAGGCTAAGTTGAAGTGTGAGATGCCTTGGTTGTCGAAGCATCATTTAGCAATGAATCGTGCAAAATCTGTTATAGGAAAGAACCCAATCTAAAGCCTTGGCCACCAAAAAGTACAGGGACCTTGAACTATGTGTCGGATATGGGCCGAAGCATAGGTGTGAATTTTGACACAATCAACTTGGATTTCAATGCAATAAATTTATGATTGAACATAACAAATTACTTGACAAATGTGACAAGTACAAACCTAAACAAACTTTAGGAAATTAAATAGTTGTCCGGAGTCAAGACAAACTAAGTACTAACTCTTTTGAAAATTCTAACATTCTCAAATCTAAGGGAAGGGAGATTTTCAATCAAAATAACGCTGAAAACCCCATCTTTCTTCTTTCTACAAACTATTAGCTCCTAAAAAACCAACCCCTTACCTCTCAAAATAAAAGACCAAATCCTGCCGACAAAAAATTTTACTATTATATATTATAGCTTACTGATGGACCTGTAAATTCCATGTATTTCAAAATAAATATTTGGTAAAGCGGGGTTTCCAGACTACGCAGTGTACCTTGAAAAAAGTGGAAAAGCAAGAAAATGAGATCTCCATTCATTAATGTCCTGTTTTACCCATGTTCTTAAAAAAAAAAAAAAAAAAAAAAAAAAAAAAAAAAAAAAAAATAATAATAATAATAATAATAAATTAAATAGTAATTTAACATCATTTTAACCACACATTTTTAATAAAATAAAATTACATATAAATTCAAAACTTTTTCCTTATTTTTAACCACTTATTTTTCTATCAATTTATTATTCAAAAATGCATTCTTATAAAAATAATGTGGTTCAAACAAGGGCTAAACCTCTAAAGTAGGCATGTGAGATCAGACTATATTCTTAAGTATGAGAAGACAATAGAGATTAGACGGGTACGAAGGAGTGGACTAAATATCTTGCCCGACACAAGATTTGTTAATTGTCTTATCTTTTAAACGTGTGGCACTTACATTCATTATTTTATCCGCACACAAAGAAAATTCATATGAAATAAAGAATTGTGTAGATTCAACGTTAATTATGTGACGTATCAACTTTATGTCAACTCAACTCAGAATAATTAATTGTCCGCTCACTCTAGACGCAGTTGATCGACGCCTATGAGCGGACACCTCACACCGTCAGATGCATACACGTGTTCCACGTCCAACGGTGCGCTATGTCTATAAATACCCAAAGTTTGACAAAAGACAAAGATAATGAAACTCTCAACTTAGCTCTCCACACTAAGAAATATACATTCTCCTCTCCACTCTCTTGCATAACTTGAGCAATGTTCCGATCATCCAACACTAACTTGACCGTCGGAGTGTATGCGGCCACCACCATCCCTGCTGGTTCCGACCGTGTGCTTCTGACCGTCCGTTGTTATGCACAGAAAGGATTACGTGGAGTAGCTATCCGTTGGTCATGTGGAGAGTTATAATTCGCAAGGTCAACAGATTGGCGCCGTCTGTGGAAAATCTTCTCATCCAAAAAGTTCCACATTTTCCGCCGAAAAAGCCACCGGCAAACTATCGACTTAGCCTGAAAAGGGCACATTCTTGAAAAAAGAACAAAGTCAACGTACAATCAAAGTTCTTAACACCCTTGAAAAGGTAGACAAGATGACTTATAGTAATGAGGATTCAAATTTTGAAGGGCACAGGGATGTCTCTGAAGAAGAAGTGATCTGGACCAATGTCACGTATCGGAAACCCCATTACTGGCATCACTGAGGCAACAGGACAACAGCTCTTACTGAAGGAATAACTCAAATAGTTGTAGGCATGAGGGACATCGCAACTCAGAATGTGGCGATGCGTGAATTCTTCATGCAAGCCCGAGGTCATCGGGGCTTCCCGATGCCCCAAGGATCTTAGCCAGCTCAAGTTCCTGCATCTCATGGCAGAGGTCATTCGAGCCAGCACCCGGAACACCCCCTTGAAAGAGAAGTTGGTGTAGATGGTCACATCCTACGCACAGGGGAGCCAACCAGCAGAATCATGGCTAGGAGAGAACTTCCCACCAGAATACGAACCACAAAGGTCTGTCAGTGTCTCTGACAGAATAGGGCAAAACCTTAGCAATAGGGTCCGCTCCGTACAGAGATCAGTTTGAGAAGAGCAGGAATAAGAACAAGCATCTCCTCTACCTAGAAATAGGCGGGAGAGGAGAAATCTAGTGGATTGGGGTAGTCGGGAAGGGGCACCTGCACCTCCCCAAAATGCATTAGATAGGGAAGGCTCTGAAGGGCCATGTCGCTCCTACGAAATTGATGACGATGACGACAACCTCCCCTTCTCCAAAGAAATCCGAAACTTCCCAATGTCTGCAAATTTCATACTCCCTAAAATCCCTAAGTATGAAGGAAAGGGGGACCCACAAAAACACCTAACTAAGTACATAACGCAAATGAGCCTTGCTGGCATTGAAATGTAGGGTCTTTTACCTAACCCTCACCGGAGCTGCTGAGGTGTGATACAACAGGTTACCACCTTTGAGCATCAGAAGTTGGCCGAACCTAAAGAATACATTTCTGAACCAGTACCTTTCACGAAGGAAATGAGAGGCCCTAGTGCAACACCTACAAGATATGAGGTAAGTTCCTGGCGAGATAGCTTGACAAGACGCTGAAAAGCTATCTCACCAGATTCACTAATGAAATCACATACTGTGAGCAAGTCACTGACAGAGAGGCCCTTTCAGCCTTGAAATGTGGCCTCAACACGAACACTCTGTTATAGAGGGATGTAAGCAGCAAGAATCCCATCACCTATGACGAACTGGTTGAAATGATGAGGGTAGAAATAATCAATGAGGAGATAATTGACCACCGAAACCATGCAGCTCATGGACTTCTCCCATCTCGGAGGCAGATGGGTCAAGGACCAGCGGCATACCTCGTCACCCAGCAATGGATCCAGGTCGGTCACACAATAGCCCTCACATCCGAACAGGCATTGACTTCAGGCACTCTAAATGCATTGCCAGTGCTGGCATATGAAAATGCTCCTGCCGAAATAGGACCATCTGATAGAACAAGCAACCGACACAAAAAGAAGAAACAGGCAAACAGGCCCCTGGACGGGGCGAAGTTCTGCACATTCCACAAACTCTATGGCCACGATGTCAGCCAATGTAGAGACGCGCCTTGGTTGTCAAACAGAAGCAACTCACGTTCCTCCAGGGGGGATCGTCATCATGAACGCTCCCGCAAGTCCACCTCTCTAAACTGGGAGTTGAGGCGACAACGAAATCAATCACCTTGAAGGAGGGAGATGAGAGATAGATCTTAAGGAGAATTCAGGCAAAGGACTCAGGCACCTGCCACCGGAGGTGATATCATCCGGGAAATTGATACAATCATTGGGGGTCCCCACATCCAGGGCAATACTAGGAACGCCCAGAGGAACTACACAAAGGAAGCAAATTACTGTCCCACAAGGGCGAATTACTCTACCTGTCGAGATGAGGTCAGCCCCCTAGTGGCCCACCACTTCATGGAGTTCCTGGTGGTATACTACAAATCAGCTTACCATGGAGTATTGGGCCGACCCGCCTTGAAAGATCTTTGGGCAGTCATCTCCATCTATTACTTGTGTATGAAGTTCCCAACTGAGCATGGTATTGCTATAGTTCGAGGTGATCAGATGGGCTTAAGAGCATGTTACCTCAACTCTCTGCGAAAATTTGAACCCTACACTGTTAATGTCATTATAATAGAGGTCGCCAACGAAGTCAACATGGACGTAGAAATGTTCGACGTCCCTAAACAAGGGCATACCTTCGAACAAGAGGAAGACGTCGACATGGTAGAGGCCCCTGAAGAAGGGCACCCTCTTGATGAGTTGGACCCTCGAATTATCGAGTCCGAACCAAATGCGACCCCAATGGAAGAACTGGAAGTTTTCCCCACCAACCCTGAAAACCCCACTTAGGTCTTGCGGATTGGAAAAGCACTACCCCTAAAGTGAAAGAAAAAATGATGAACTTCCTGAAAAGGAATCTCGATGTCTTCGCTTGGAAGCACGAAGACATGGTAGGAATAGACCCAAGGATCAGTTGCCACCACCTTAACATCAACTCATCTTGTGCCCCGCATCGGTAGAAAAGACGAGCCCTCAACTCAGAGCGATATGAGGCGCTCAAAGAAGAGGTCAACAAACTAAGTCGCAGCTGCTTCATTAGAG